TGGGAACTGCAATCACGTGACCGCTTGCGTGGTGTGGTGTCAGAGATGGAATCTACTACAAGTTCATTTCCTCTACCTCCCAGCACGTAAATCGTGTTCTGATGGAAAGAATGGTGGCGGGGGTGGGCGCAATGGCTGAAGAAGCTAAGCAACTCGCCTATGTGTGTCATACCTTATTTTGTTCCCTACACTGCACGTGCTGCGTTTCATCATAAGTGGGGGAGGGGGCTTGTATGAGTAAAGGAAAAGACAGATCGAGTACTGGAACGGTTCATTTATTATTGTGAGTTTTCGAACCCATGCAGTAGTTCACAATCAGAGATAGCGGCATTAGCTGCAGCAGCAACAAAAACGTGGCAATGATGCCTACATGGAGGCGACTGCACAGCCGTCAAGATAATTGCCCACACCAGGATCAAGATAAACCGAGAGTAGATTGAAGTGTGTTTTAAGGATGGCAACTAAATCAATCGATGTATCGATTTGGCGCCGGCCCTGCACACTCACATCCGGACTTGCGTAATGGATAATTGATTGGCCTGCACACCTATCTTTTTTGCCTTTTCGTCGCTGTTGCAGCTGCTGCCATCTTTGAAGATGAATCCTTGCGCGAATCAGGTCGAACGCAGACTAGTTTAGATGCACTAGTTGACGGGGGACATGAAACTCGTTCTACCGCATGGTACACACTGTTAATATAGCGACTAAGGATTCACATTGACTCCACGTGGCCTCTGTTTTGATCAAACACAACAGTGCCGTAGCCGTCTGTGATGTGTAATATACCTTTGTACAACCTGTATGGACCTAACTGGTTATACAGAAGTCTGCTTTTGAAAATGATAAGTTCCGTAGGTATGATTATGATACATCTAACCATGAAACATGATCTAAGCTGAAGTGGGAGACGCTAACGTGGGAATTCATGACTTGGCATTTTTCTATTCATCACACCTGACAAAATTTAGCATTTACATATTTTATTTTTTCTCACAAATACTTATAAACGCATTGGAATTTGAGTTTTATCTGTGGGCTCTGTAGTCGGTATAACCAAGTTATACCAGTGTCAGCAATCAATAAAAATATAAACCGTACCCAATTTTTGATTTTTGCTGATTGTGATTTGTTCTAGCGAATTTATAGGAGCCAAATAAAAATTCTATCTTCATTCGTACGTCAATCAAGCGAAGATCATGCTCCACTTTGATTGATACTGACATAGCGCCTCAGTGAAACGGTTCATTTGGAAACACATTTTATGCCACCGTAAACATTGCATAAGTCTGAGTAAGTGTTGCGTAATTCAGTTGCCACGCTTGCACCCATAATTTGCGTCAACAGAAACTACAAACCTTGCGGTTAGACAATAAACGCACTAAAGTTTCACTGACAGTTGTTAATCAGCACAGCACCTGAAAATTGAGAATTAAACTGCTGCTCAACGTGTTGAAAATAAAATGAACAGGGTGACAGTTCCGTCTCCACAAATTTTCCTTTTAAAATAACGGTTCTAAGATTAGCATTTACCTTTTGAGTGTCCGTGCATCTAATGTTAATCTGCGCCTTTTACGCACTCAGTAGGTTCAGTTATGAACACAGGAGCCCGTCATTGATCGCCAATTTATGCTCTATTTTCTCCCTTCATAGAGATCCGAAACTAAAACCCTTGGTTGATGCAACCGTCCTCAAACCAGAAACTTTTACGGTAATTAATATAATTTATTTTCCTTCCACTACGCTTACCGTCATTCTCATGTATCAAAATTTTTCTAGGACTTAGAGTTCCGATTGATAAATCACCAAACACAAGTTGCGATGGGTAGGGAGTAGATTAAGAGTATCTCACTTTTCCGAAAATGCTTTAGAAGTTTTCCCGAAATGTCCCCAGACACTTCAAGTGCCAACAGACTCTCCTTAAAATCAAGAAAAAAGGTGCTTTATGGCTAATTAACTTGAAAATTCGTGGATACTAATAAAGAAACACCCAATTATTTCTGTAACCAGAGAGGAGTGGCCAATTGTTACACATTCTACTGCTACAATGTTGACCAATATATTTTTGTTATAGGTTTCTGTTACCATTATTGAAGCCCGGAACCTGCCAGGCACAAACATAAATCCAATTGTTACAGTGACAGCGAATGGAAAGACCCAAAAGACGGACGTTAAACTTTATACAAACACCCCCTACTACAACAAATTCTTCCCCTTCGAGTACTATATGCCCAGACCAGCAGTGATGGATGAGATCATCCGGATCAAGGTGAGCACATGAATTTTGCGGCGTGGAAAAATTAACTTAAAATAATTGTGGATCTGACATTTGACTGTCTCAGATGCCCGAAAAGGACCATTAGTGTCTGCGTCTCCGCCAAAGTCAATATAGACGCTGGGTTCATTTAAGGCAATACATTTATGATGTTCCTGTGGTAGAAACTTTGCATCTTGAGAGAATATCCGGGCTGCCTTTCCTCTACAAAATTTACGCCAATTAATCACTTGCTCATTATATAAGTATGTTTTCAAAAAAAAAAACGTGAATTAAGCTAAAATTGGATTTGACCTTCAGGATAGCTGCATGAAATGCACGGTGCAATGTCACGTATCTTGTCAAAAACCTCCTCGCTAGGTTCCTCACAGAATGGCAATGAATCATTCAATAAGAACAACCCAATTACGCAACTGTTAGTCCACTAATCAGCCAAACGCTGTCGATGTGATATACTCGCACAAAGGGCCTCTCTTCAGGAAATTCTGTCAGCTGTAAGTGCAATTAAATGAATGCCTGAAGACGGGCACCTGCAAAGATAAAACCTCGAAAGAAAAGGAGAAAAGAACACGAAACAGAAAGTTAAATAAACCGAACGAGAAATTGACAAATAAAGCAAGAACAACGTTAGTGCACATTACTGCGCAGTTGTCTGACGCGCCGTCAGCATGTGAACAGGTGGCAGCCTGAGGATGTGTTGGCTGCCCACAGCCTCTTCTTTTCTCTTTCGGCTGTTTGCGACTTAAATGTGGGAAATTTTTGATCACCTTAGTGAGCAAAAATCTATTTCATAAATACCGTAGGTTCAGTTAACTCCCTTGAACACCAAATCTGTTGTATAGCATAACATGTGTTTTCCTTATAAGTTTTCCAGGTAAAGGACTTCTGAGTGTTTATGAAACCTCCTTTTTTAAGAGCTCTAGCAGATCTTAAATTTGGAATTCCATGCGTAAGTGCCGTTGAGCTGTATTTCCACAGATGCTTCTAGCATCGCGACTTATTTCTAAAAACAGCTTAAAAATTTATGGCTTGCTATAATCTTTCCT